ATTCTATTCTGTTTTCCATTTTTGGCAAAGCCGCCGCAGCGACAGCTTAGCAAAATTTTAATAGTTGGGCTATATTTAGATTTTCATTGGCTATTCTTAACCCCTTTATTAAGTGTGCTTGCTCATAAATCTGTCATTCCTCACGCCAGATTTAATTAGCACCAAAAATAAACATGCGTCGTGTATTATCGACTGCGCCACACAATTTTAGTTGGAAATAGACATCAAATGCAGTTGCCGTGCCTATGTTTATGTTGCAGTCGGTTTTATTGGGGATAAAGTCTGAGGCTAATGAGTTGAGAATTTTTACTGACTTGTTTTATGGCTGCTTTTAGTCGAGGTAACCTGTAATCAATTCCGTATTAGGAAAATTTTAGGTAATGGTTATGTAACGTGTGCACTACCTGCGATCGTAATGGTTGATTTGATGGAGGATAATGGTATTATGATTTTTGAAATGAAACGATATGTGCGGATGCTATTTCATTCGCTACGTAAACAAAACGAGGGAATAAATTACACGAAAACAAAGATTGTTACACAACGTGTAGGTGTAGTCACTAAAATAGTACTAAAATTTGTTTTTCAAATAGCATTAACGATGGATATCAAACAATGGTTCGAAACTTTCCTGATTGCCACGGAACCACTGAAACTTACTGAGTGTTATTAGTTTTTTTTAACTTTCATGGCCCGCGCTGAAACTCTTGTTGTTCTCGGGGTAGGTTCTGTGGGGGCGGTCCACTTCCACACAATCTAGCCCGCGAACAACAAAGGCAAGTCAGATTTCTAGTTAAGGGTATGGTAGTGCTATGTTAGTCTGTAAATGGCGATGACTAGGTACATACAGGGTGGGCCATTAGTTTGAGAAAGTACAATAACTCCCTTGTTACTCATAATACAGAAAAAAAGTTTATATAAAAGTTGTACAAAATCAAGAAACGTATACTACAAAATTAATTTGAAACATACAGGACGATTAGTAAAAACAGGACACGCCAAAGATTACATTTCTTAAATGGAACACCCTGTATATTTTTAAACATGGATTTCTGAGAAAATTCTATATATGGCAATATAAAGAGTTTAACATTTTAGTGCGGGGTTGCCAAGTTTTGTAAAAAATTCTTCGAATTTTGGAAAAAACTTGACCCCGAAGAAGTTGTATTAACTTTCAACTACAAACACTTGGAACAGAATAATTAGACAGAGTTATAGGCAAATGTTAGACAAATGCTCCTATATTAGCTAATATCGATATTTTATATAGGGCATTTTTTATAATATGATCATTTTTAGAAAGTTTAAACTTGATTTTCTAAAATTTTTCAAACGGAACCCTGTATTTTATTGTTCTATTTTATTCACATATCGGTCCACTTCAACTTTTATTAAGCATTTTATCTAAAATTGTTAATTTGTAAGATATAGCAACATTTCTGAACAAACTTAATTTTTATTATTTTATAGAATACCACAAATAAATATTAACTAATAAAATTAACTCAAAATGGAATGATAAATTATGAACTGACAAGTTGGCGCAATGTGACAGTTTTTTCCAAAGCCAATTCGTACGACCGAAAATAATTAGAATTAGTTTTTTCTAGAAATGCTATATCTTAAAAACTAACAACTTTGGGTGTAGAACATACTTAATAAAAGTTGAAGTGGACTGATATATGAATAAAACAGCATAATAAAAAAATTTTAGAAAATCAAGTTTGAACTTTCTTAAAATGATCGTATTATAAAAAATGCCCTGTATAAAAAATCGATATTACCTAATATAGGAGTATTTACCTAACATTTGCCTAAAACTATGTCAAAATATTTTTGCTTCAAGTGTTAGTAGTTGAAAGATAAAACTTCTTCGAGGTCATGTTTTTTCCAAAATTCTAATAGCTGTTTTACATTGACAATTTATTGATGAATAAATTGACGAAGTTCTTCATGAATTAATTCACGAATTTATTGGTAAACAGGGTTTACACTGCTACAGATTTTGTCAAGTTTTTTAACGCATGAATCAGTTCTACTAATGAATAAAAGAAGCAAATAAATTTCAAAAATGTCACCTTTCCACTCATAATTGTAGTGATACAACAGCGGTACCGTTTTGACACATATTATATAAATATTAGTGTTTGTAAGTAACAAATCAGTAAAAACAATGCAAAACTAGTACGACGCCACACAATTATTTACATATTCCAATAACATAACCTCATTACTGATCTGAGGCTGGAAATCTGTTGGGTTGGTACTTCCGAACTTCACGAAGAAATTGACGAAAATTAGAACATGCTCTAATTCGTCAAGAACTTGATGAATAAATTCATGAAGTTATTTGACAGCTGATTTGGTGCATTACACTTGTCCAATTTCTTGATGAAGCGACTTCATGAATTAATTGATCAATAAATTGTCAATGTAAAACAGCT